ATATTAATTAAAATTTTACTTAGTATGAAAAAATTTTATTTTAAATAAATTATGGCAGAGTTTTTTGGTTTTTTTTAATATTTACACCAGGGCTAAGCCCCTTATCTCTCCCAACCCTAGCAAGGTCCCTGGTTTAAGCATTTATCTTCTTTTTATTTAGTCACAGGGATTTCCTGGAGCATCATCAGTTCTTTCACTTCTGTAATGTGTATGTGGAGTTTCCGTGCGAGTGCGCCCTCTGGCATCCAGTATGAATGAAACAGATCACATATGTTTAGCGCTCAGTGATTTGCACTTTGGCCTTTTTTGGGCTTAAATATGAAAAAACAATACTTCTTTCTGAAGAAATTTGTGAACTATATTTGCTCAGCATTTTGACTTTGTTTAATACTCTCTTTGAGTATGAATGCAATTTTTTTGCATCAATATAGCAAAACAAACTTTTAACCCAATTTTTTTGTTCCAGATTTTTACTCTTTAAAAAAAAATCATGTTTAGTGTTATTTTAAGGACAAGAAAGACTTAGATAAGTAATAAACTGCATTTCTAAATCAGTTAGGGTTAGTGCAAATATTGTCTTAAATAAAGTCTGATGATGCAAATTGTAATTTGTGGCCCTTCGCATTTTATGTGGTTTAAATGCGACCCCCTTGGCCTCTGAACTTGAGTACCTCTGCACTAGACCATTAAAGCACATGAGATGCCAATTGATATATTTATTCACTGCTGTGAAGACTCTCGCCATTAATTATATTGTATTATTAATATTTATATTAATATAGTAATATGCGCTGCGGGCCCCACGCCGCACGGGCCCCAGTGCGGCTGCACTGCCTGCACTGTCTGTAGTTACGCCACTGGTATTTACTATAAATTACTATAGTATTTTTTCATGTGGGTCGCCGTTTTAAAACGAAAATGCACTAGTGTAAACAGGGCCTTAGTTATTAATTGTATTAGTCTGCTATCAACAGCTCAAGCCTCTGTTACTATGTTTAAAATGACGTTTTGGAATTAGCAACGAAGGCGTTGGATGAGATGCGGAAGAAATTAATCCTACTCACAATAGCGTTTTAAGTACAAATGCCTTGAAATATATCATCTGATCCATGTCTTGAGGTGTGGTAACCGTAGTATAAGAGGAATAATTGACTCCGGGCCGTTGAATTATTAAAAAATAATGCACACCCGACTGTAACGGCCACTCTGCTTCGCGGCCGCATCACCACCTCGGGTATGCATTATTTTTATAATAGGGTGTAAGGGCCACTCCGCTTCAACAGCCCGTCGTCAATTATATGCAATCTTAGATCCAAGTTAGTTTAAAGGGGTCATATGATGCTTTTTTAAAGATCATTATTTTGTGTATTTGGTGTAACAGAATATGTTGACATGCTTTAATGTTCAAAAAACACATTATTTTTCAAATAGGTCCTCTATGCCCCGCCTCTCTCAAACACGTCGTTTTCTACAAAGTCCCTCCTTCCGACAAGAGCAGTCTGCTCTGATTGGCCAGCTGACCCAGTGCATTCTGATTAGCGCTAACGAGCCGTAAGTGACGAAAATAATCATTTTTACCCTTCTGGGTAAATATTGTGCTGCAAACATCATTAACAGCTTTAACTTGTCAATGCTGGCAAATGACCATGGTATAAGCGGGATAATGCACGGCTAGCTAGCTGGCAACCTGGCCTCCACGTCGTGCATTAAATTTGTTTAATGCACAGCTCGATATTATTAATAACATGAATAATAAAGACTGCAAAATTCCATACAAATAAGAATTGTACATTTTGATTTCATGGTGACTTCAGGTTACTCTCTAGGCAATAAGACAATGGGACAAAAGTAAAACTAACCTAATTATATTTCAGCTAAATTATAAGAAAGCATCTAACATAGGGCCATACAGAAATACACTTCCAGTATATAATGCAAATTGAACCAAATGCTTTTTATTATATATTTGTGATGCTTATCCACCAGAGAGCTGTCATGCCGTTAAGCTATAATTCGAGGGCTGATTTGTAGTCCTAGTCCATCCCTTGTAATAATAATCTAGTATTTGTGTATGAGGTAAAGGTTCTCTCAACACAAAACACTGACTATTGAATGCTGCTCTTTATTGTCCCAGCCTTTATTTTACACCCAGAGGCAAGTTAAAGCCCAATGGGAGTAGTATACTTACTAGGAGAGAGAAACATAATCATAGGAATATCTGGGTGTTGCCTATTATGCTGGTTTAGGATGTCTCGGGTGCTGAGATGGGTCATTATGCTTTGTACCAGGAAGGACAAAGTGTTGTAATTTGGGCAGAAGAGTCCATAGAGAAGGGAAGTCACACACCTTCAGAATTCTGAGAAGGACCCAGTCACTTTGTGTACTAATGTCCACCTTATAGGACAACCAGCCGTCTGTGAGATATGCTGTAAGTACTGATTTAAATTTATCATTTTGTTTGTCAGGTTACTTTACAGTAAAAATGGAATTTGTTGGCTTGTTTCTGTAAAAGTGCTGAGCGCTAAATCTGTCTAAAAAGATCTATAAATGATCTCTCATGATTTATTTTGAGATTACAAATACAGAACTGAGCAAATAACAGTTTACTCTAATCATACTACGAGTTCCAGATGATACACATGAGCTATTTACAGTATATTATGAATGTGTATGTTCTGAATGCTGAGAACATTCAATTTGATATGTTGATATGGACAGTCTAGGAAGATTATAGAAAATACTTTATATTACATTACATAACAATTGTCTCAAATTTGTTTTAATGGGTAATTTTAGTTGTAACACAATTCCAATATGTAATGTTAAATATGTAAAGATGTTCAGCCATGTTGTGATGTTGAGAAGGATGTTCTTTCCAGTAAGTTAGTACGCTAAAGACGTCTTGATGTAATTTGATTCTGATGCACGACATGGATTTCTATACAGTAGAATCCATCAGACAAACAATGACTGAATCTGACCCACACGGAAGTAAAACTTCCAGCATGTAACCCAGTCAGAGATCAGGGATCATTGTCATCATTTTTCCTATTCAGGACATCTTCCATGTTGACTTCAGTTACCAAACTTGAGAAACTCTTTGTTTCACACTATCTTTTTTCTCAGTGATACCAGTCTTTATTTGAAATAGAACATTCCATATATAATCACCTCAATGAATCAATACAACTTTAGAGAGCTATGCTATAATGTGAAATGCTATCAATTTGAAATTTACTTTGTAAAGTAAAAGCAGAGAAAGCTGACAATGGATATTAGAGATGACAAAATGGTAGTACAAATTACTTCTTCAAGAGCAGTAGGATGTCGTAGGTTTCTTTGTTCAAGTCTAACAAAGTTATTTTTCCATGGAATGAGTAGGTTCTTTGGGCATGTCCATCCCTTTTTGGGCCCATGAATTGAGGCTTAGAACAAAGTAATCACAATCCCTCTGTAAACTGATTCATCTTGATAGATGTAACTCTATAGATGTAAAGATATACACGCATATAGGAATAGGAATTCACCTAATTACTCACACCAAGAAGTTGTCTTCCCATTTAAGGAGTCATAATCCAAAACAAAAGGTGGTGCCGTGTCGATTTTTGTTGACTGTCTTCATATTTGTTGACTTTCTCTTGCAGGAGTCTGTTGCTGTATCTGCTTTGCCTGTGTATTATGCTCAGGCACACATCTGCAGGTGAGAAACATGGTCAAGATCAGAGTCCTCTATTTTTGATCAACTCACAGTACAGAATGCAGTCACTTATTGCCAGACTTACCCAACTCTTATCCATTCTGTCTACGCAGTTGCAGATCTCAGTGACTGTGCAGCTTCAGGGAGCATATGCCATGCCAATGCAGATTGCTTCAAAACACGTGAGGATAAGTTTCTCTGCATGTGCCGAATGGGGTACAGGGGCTCTGGAGTGCAGTGCCAGGACATCGATGAGTGTACAACTGGTCTACACAGCTGCCATGCAAAAGCAGTCTGCAGTAACACTCTGGGCAGTTACACCTGTTCATGCCAAAATGGTTATTCTGGTGATGGTTTCCAATGCCAAGATATCAATGAATGTCAAACTAATAATGGTGGATGCCATGATAATGCGCTTTGCACCAACAGAGATGGAGGAAGAGATTGCAGTTGCAAGTCTGGTTTCACTGGAAATGGATTTCAGTGCACTGATGATAATGAGTGCACAAGACCGGGAATCTGCCACTGGAATGCCACTTGCACCAACAACCCTGGCTCCTACGTGTGCACATGCAATGCTGGCTACAAAGGCAATGGAAATTATCTCTGCCTAGACATTGATGAGTGCTCAGAGACTCCTGGTGTGTGCTCTGCTTTCTTTGGGTACAAAGGTTGCAAGAACCTGCCAGGAACCTACACCTGCCTCTGCAACAGTGGCTACCAAAGCAACGGACAGACATGTGAGGACATCGATGAATGTGAAATCAACCTCTGCAGCTCATTTGCTGAATGTACAAATTTGCCAGGCTCATATCGTTGTATTTGTCCCGATGGATTTGTGGGGAATGGCTTGGCATGCGTAGACATTAATGAGTGTGACAGAAAGAACAACTGTGACCCCAACGCAATATGTACCAATTTGCTAGGAAGCTATCAATGCTCTTGCCGCCCAGGGTTCCTGGGCACAGGTACAAAGTGTACTGACACCAACGAATGTGCCACCAATAACATTTGCCCAGCAAACGCTGCATGTGTCAACACGCCAGGTTCATTCTTCTGTGACTGTGGTCCAGGCTACAGCTTTAGTCAAACCCAGTGTATGGATGTGGATGAATGTGCCACAGGACATTGCAGTGCTTACTCCTCTTGTGAAAACTTACCTGGTTCATTCATCTGCGCATGTGTAGCTGGTTTCGAAGGTGATGGGTTAATATGCGAGGATGTGAATGAGTGTGCAATAGAAAAGCGGTGCCATGTTAATGCACACTGTATTAATGTACCAGGGAAATACAACTGCAGCTGTATGGTGGGATACACAGGGGATGGTGTATCGCAGTGCACAGATGTGAACGAGTGTCTTGTTGATTACGGTGGCTGCAGAAACAGAGCAACATGTATCAACAGTAAGGGGTCTTTCTCTTGCGTTTGCCCCTCAGGCTTTCTTCTAGTCAATCGTACCACCTGCCAGGACATAGATGAATGCCAGCGACCTGAAAAGGCTTGTGGCATCAATGAGCAGTGCTCAAACATGGAAGGGTCACATTCATGCCAGTGTAAAACAGGCTTCAGTCGAATCACTGACGTTTTAGACTGCTTTGATATTGATGAATGTGAACAGCAGAAACCTTGTCACCAGAATGCCACATGCTTGAATTTAGCAGGCTCCTTTTCATGCACCTGCAATCATGGGTTCTCAGGAAATGGCATTACATGTGAGGATATAAATGAATGTTCAATTGTGGGTATGTGCCATCTACATGCCACCTGCTACAATTATCCTGGTGACTTCTTGTGCATATGTCACCAGGGCTTTACAGGAGATGGTTCTACCTGTACAGATGTGGATGAATGTGCCCTTTCAAATAATACTTGCCCAGACATCTCTGTATGTGTCAATTCCCCTGGAGCGTATGTCTGTTCTTGTCTGAATGGCACAGTAGCATACAACAACACTTGTGTTCTCCCTAGTCGTGAATGTGATCCTGCCTGCCATCCACATGGACTGTGTCATCCTTCACCTTCAGAGCATCAGTGTGTGTGTGATGTGGGATTCAAAGGGGATGGACTCACTTGCTCAGACATCGATGAATGTGAAGAGAATGTGTGCCCAAAGGAAGAGACACAGTGTGTCAATAACCCAGGATCCTTTGATTGCATTTGCAAAGTGGGTTACACTCTTAGCGGAACAGAATGCATAGGTATGTGCATTACACATGCATTTATAAAACCACATTTATATTTACATAAGCCAAGTTCCTGGGTTCAGTTAGCCAGGGAATCGTAGTATTCTTTCAATCTTTTCTTCTCGCATTCCTCTTTTCCCAACCTTTCAGATGTGGATGAATGTGAATCTGGAGTCAATAACTGCAGCAAGTTTGCACAGTGTGCCAACACAATCGGCAGTCACCTGTGTTCCTGTCTCAACGGCTTCACTGGTGATGGAAAAAACTGCTCTGGTAAGTCTTTATTCCATTTCAAAATTCATTTTTGCACCTCTTTGCTTGCTTGAAGACTCTCTTCTCAGTCTTTTAGGGATTTTTTTTTCCTGACCCTGTCCCATTTTGGATGACTTATAGACATTAATGAGTGCCAATCCCAACATGGAGGATGCCACCCAGCTGCCAGCTGCACTAACTCTCCTGGCTCCTACAAGTGTACCTGTCCCTTTGGCATGACCGGGTCTGGATTTGATTGCCATGATGTGGACGAGTGTAATGAAAACTCAACTTTGCCTCATAACTGCAGCCGTCTTTCCATGTGCAACAACACAGAGGGATCCTACATTTGCAAGTGCAAGGAGGGATACCAAGGAGATGGGTTTACTTGTGAGGATGTGGATGAGTGCTTGCCACCCTCAATCTGTGGGAACAACATGACCTGCCAAAACTTTCCTGGAACATATACATGCACATGCACCCTTGGTCTAGTCTATGGTTTGGGTACCTGTGTGAATGAGAAGGACTGTAAGAATGTAACCAATGCATGCAACACCCATGCTGAGTGCAAAAACATCCATGGGTCAAACTATTGCTTCTGCATTGAAGGGTTTCTTGGGAATGGTAGGGACTGTAAGGATATAGATGAATGTAAACAAACAGGGGCTTGCCCAGAGTTGTCCCACTGTTTCAATACAGCAGGGTCCTTTCATTGTGACTGCTGGGGAGGCTACCATTACAACGGGACACGCTGTGAAGACATAAATGAGTGCAGTGTAGGAACCTTTACTTGCCCAGACAACAGCACCTGCCACAATAAAGAGGGAGGGTATAATTGTTCATGTAACAGTGGTTTCCTTTACTCAAACAACTCTCTGTGTTTGGATGTTGATGAATGTGCCACAGGGAAAGCACAGTGCCCAAATGCCTCCAACTGCCAAAACACAGCAGGATGGTATTTCTGTGAATGTTGGGATGGGTATGCAGGCAATCAGACAGTCTGTGAGGATGTTGATGAATGCCTGAACAATTCTACATGTTCAGACCACAGTGTCTGTGTCAACACTGAAGGTTCATTTCTGTGCCTTTGTGATCATGGATTCTCCTCTAATGGTACCAGTAGTACCCGATGTGAGGATATAGATGAGTGCTCACACCCAGAGTTTGGCCCACTCTGCACTCATGGGACTTGCATTAACACAGTTGGCTCATTTTACTGTGATTGTCACAAAGGATTCTGGAGCAATCACACTAGGTGTCTTGACATAGATGAGTGTGAAAAGAATGAATCCATATGTCAACCTCACTCTACATGTGTCAATATCCTTGGGTCTTATGAATGTAACTGCAACTTGGGTTACGTTCTTAACAGAACCGAGTGTCAAGACATTGATGAATGCCTAGCAAATAACAGTCCCTGCACTGCCAACGCTGTATGTGTAAATACAGCAGGGTCTTTCCAGTGTCCATGCGCAACCGGTTACGAAGCTCAGGGCCGAAGATGTACAGATATAAATGAATGCCTTTTGAACAGAATTTGCCGTCCCGATCAAGTATGCATCAATAAACCTGGATCGTACCAGTGCTCTTGTCCACCAGGACATCATGAGGAAAATGGTACCTGCATCGACAATAATGAATGTGCGAATAACTCTACCTGCCACCCCATGGCGAGATGCTGGAACACAGTGGGCTCTTTTACATGCCAGTGTGGTTTAGGTTACACTGGAAATGGGACATACTGTAAAGACATTGATGAGTGTTCCAAATCACCCTTACGTTGCCACAAGTCAAGCCAATGCATCAATACCCCTGGATCTTATGTATGTGTATGTGCACCAGGTCTTATTGCACTAGGGTCTCTTTGTGTGGATCTAGACGAATGCCAGTCCAATAGGGGTGGATGTCATCCTGCTGCCACATGCTACAACTCCGCAGGTGGGTTTCAGTGCCAGTGTGGCAACGGATGGAATGTCTCAACCAGAAATGGGCATGGAATGGATGGATGCATAGACCGGAATGAATGCGTCTCTCCTGATGTGTGTTATGGCAACAGAATATGCACCAATTTCATAGGATCTTACAGCTGTGCCTGCTCTACAAGAGATAGCCACTGCCCACAGCTGCCGCCAATGGGTGGGGTATTATATTACAATCATGAATGCAATATTTCTATATAAAATAATGCCTCTGTATTTATTTTTTCTCATTCTCTCTCTTTCTCTTTGTGTGTCTCTCTGACATTTGGCACTTTGGTGCTAAAATACTTTGGTGCATGTAAATGATGCACACTCATATGACTTGAGATTCCTGTCATATCTTAAACTTAATGAACTTAAACTTACCTCAAACTTATTTTCCAGACAGAGAATGCCAACCTGTTATTTCGTGTACTGGTCAACGTAATCACAAGTTTTTTTGTTTTTTTTGACCAGATGGTGTAGTCAGCAGTGGCTAAATGCCCATGACAACCAGCCAAACCTTGACCCCATGGGGTGCATTTTTGTATATTTTCACAGAAAGTGGCCTGTATCCATTTGGAGAGGAAGCAGGTGATGCTGTGTTGCCAAAGACAGAGGCAGATGGAAATTCTCCATACATCTCTCCTCCTGCAGGCTTTCCATTCATGGGCAAAATATATGAGCGGCTGTTTGTAAGCATCCACAATTAACTGTTCTTGTTTTAAAAGCAATATAATGGTGAGCAGCGTAATATATCTGAAATTACCAAACTAATATACCATACATAGCTGTTATGGGAAACACAGTGGCTACTTACAGTTAGGCTTACCTCTGTTCACATTTTAAAGGGAAACAGTTTCTTGATATATGAACATTCTCAGTTTTCAGATAATGGCTTGGTGCAGTTCCAGTCGGTCAGTGAGAATGAGAAACTGTTGCTCCCTGCTCCATTCCCAGAGGGTTTCAATGGTAATGAGGGCCATCCCATGCTGGCTGCGTTCTGGGACGATGCTGACCTTACCCTTGGGGATGGAAAACTGCTATACCAGGTTAGCATTGCAATAAATTATGCAACGTTTTCTGGCTTTGCTTCTACTGTGATGTTTTTATTATTATTATTATTATGCTGTATTAATAATGTAAAAAATATTATTTTGGTAGTTGAATTTCTGTGATTTGTTGACCTGGTTATGTGGGTGCTGTACCAGTAATAAAATTTATATTTTTAAACAAATGGTGTGCATATTGAGATTAATTAATGCATATTGTAGAAATGATTTCAACATTAATTTAACATTTAACCATTTTTAAGTATCACTCAAGTAAAACTTTCCCTTTTTGTAGAAATCTAACTATTTATATTTGTGGTAATTACCTTGAAGGAAATCTTGAACATTCTCCCTTTCTGTCCAACAGGAATACAGTCTGCTCAATGTATCTGACATCTATGCTGAGGCAATATTTCAACGAACAGCACAAGATGTTAGCAAATTTGAGACTCAAAGAGGCAAACCCCCCTTTCCCCCAGCCTGGATACTGAAAATCACATGGGATCACGTTTTGCCTGTGTCCTATCAAAAGATCAACTTCTCTGAGGTGAGTGTTAGATGAATGAATACACACAAAGGGAACTACAGCAACAGTAGCTATAATTAAGAATGTTTGCTACTACAAGCATCACTACTAATATTATTAATATTGCTCATCATTAGAGTTAGTGATTTGAACAAACTAAACCTAAGTATTAAACTTTAGCATGTAACTGATCCTACACCATTTGTACTGCGGACATGGACGATGAATGATACACAAACAGTGGTGGACGAAGTACACAAATCAAGTACTTGAGTAAAAGTACAGATCCGTATAATAAAATATTACTCCAGTAAAAGTAAAAGTACTCAGTTTTCAATTTTACTCGAGTGAAAGTACAAAAGTACTTGATTTTTTATGTACTTAAGTAAAAAGTACCGATAGATGAATGTCTATTTTGCAGTTTTATATAGGCTACTTCTATCATTTAATTTTATATTGGCATATATTTTTTTATAATCCTACTGCTCAAAATACCTGGGATTTTCCCAAAATAACCAATAAGGAAATAATGAATATATTTTCAGTAAAAACACCCCTGGCCAAATGCCCCCAGAGGGCATCACTTCCCACTTTGATAATTACTGTAGTTACCATGTTCTGAACATCACGTCCTTTCTTTTCCCTCAGATGTAATCTATCTAGGTGGTTGCATAAAAATATTTGGACTTTATTTAAAAAAAAAAACTCAATTTAGCACCAGCAAGCTCGTCAGCTAACATTATTGACTTATTTTCAGCATGGTTATGGTTGAATAAACATTTTTCTACACGGCTAGTTGATCCAGATACATAGTAACTTAGGCTATGTGTGCTGACAAACAATATAAAAACAGACGTCACATAGGGCTAAATGCATAG